TTCCTCCGAGGTTGTCAGTATGCTATTATACTGATATATCCCAGAGGCTTGTATGTTAGGTACACATTTGTAAATTTCAGTATACTAATATAAGAACAAGAAATTCACCCATGTTACGATTTTAATCTCATGTATACCCCAAATACTAGTGGTGAGACAAGTATTTCTTTTCCTTGAATCTTTGTAATATAAATTCCTCCATTATTTCTTAAAACAAATAATTTCAAATGCTGAATGCCTTTTTAAATGACAGCCCTTGATATAATTTGCCTAAGTTTTTGTCTCTTTATCCATTTTAGAAACAGAAACACTGTTTCTGTTGTTGCTCAGTTCATATAATTCCCCTGGAAAGGTCATGTAATATCTCCTTAGGTACACAGAATGCACAAATAAGAATTATTTACTAATTTACAATTAGTTAACCTTGTACAGCCAGACAGAAGGCTGTGGAGTTGCACAGCTGCAATTAAAGATATAATCTGGTCAACAAAACCTGAACTGCAGGTAACGATACCCAAGAAAAAATTCAATACTGAAATCTCAGACTTCTTGCAGGCTGGCACTTTTGGGGAAACAAAAACAAAAATTCTTCTACTTGTAAAATTAGCTTATTTGATATGGGAACATTGAAAAGCAAACAGAGAAGAACTCATCTTCTCACCAAGTCACTTTTAGATTAAATTGCACTGCAAACTGCTCAGTTATAATGAAAACACTATGTACCTTGATTTATCTGAACCGTCTCTAAAAATGTGTACATCCCTACAGAGATGTGTCTTCCCAAACTGGATATAGTACTCCTAGCGCCGGTGGAGTTTTAACTATGGTTTTATGCAATGGCATATTTTCTTCCCTTCCTTTGGATTCAATTCATGATTATCTTGAGCTTTATCAGTACAGCTAAACAGCAGGACACTTATGTCTTCATACTCCTTGTACCCTGAATGCAACAATTTTCATTGCCTGTAATTTTCAGTTCTTTAACAATGCATAAGTTGCCTCCTGATTTTTAGATTCAAAATTCATGCTTAACATTTGCTTATGTTAAAAATCTATCAGCTGTTCCACAGACCACTGGCTTAATGTAGTTAATGTTAAATCATGTTCATAAACATTTGGAACATTACCAGTGTTTCTAACATTAGCCTTTTTTAAAAGAGGGCATCCCTAGAGGTACAAATCTCTTGTGTAAATACATGCCAATGTCATCAATAAATATTTTGAAAGTGTTGAATCATGGCCAATGTAGCAGTTATCATACTTTTAAATGTAGTAGCACATGCCTAGATCAGCAATTTTGACTAATATATGCTTTATCTGTTTTTTAAAAAACAAGAGAAGACTGGTCAGTGGGTACTACACAATTGCTCTGCTGATCTTCTTAACCAACTCCAAATTCAGTTCTTTGGTCTTTGTCACACTTGGAGTCATGATTTGCTAACCATCCTCTTTATTCCCCTCCAAAGCTAAGTCCACACTGCCACTTTATTGTGCTGCAACTCTCTGGCTCAGGGGTGTAAAAAAACTCAAACACACATATCCTGAGTGCAGCCAAGTTACAGCACTGTAAAGTGCCAGTGTAAACGGACTCCCAGCACTGTTAACTACTCTCCTCATGGAGGTGGTTTACACAGAGCTCTGTGGGAGAACCTTCTCAGCCCTCATTGGCCACACTTTCACTTTAAATCACGGCCATGGCTGTGCTTTAATTTTAGAATTGTAAACAAAGCCCAAATAACTCAACCTCCTGTACCATGAGGCATACGTACACTTAGGCTACAGCTACACTACCACAGGAAGTCAACCTAAAGTATGCAACACTAGCTACGTGAATAACGAATTGGAGTCAAGGTATCTCAGGTCAAGTTACCAAGGGCTCTACACCATGGAGGGTCAACAGGAGAAATTCTCCTGTCAACTTCCCTTAGTTTTCTAGTCTGGGGTGGAGTAACAGGTCAACAGGAGAGTGATCTGCTGTCAGTTTTGCAGGTCTTCACAGAGCTTTATAGTTAGCATTAATCATTTATTTATAACTTATAACAACACTCTATAACCCACTATCAAACCCCTATCAACAGGAGGTGTTAATGGGCCACTTCACTTTGAATGGTTCCTTGAAGTATGGGTTAACTAGTTATTTTAAACAATCTGTTTCTTATATTTTGTTCATTTGAAAGATATTACCTCACCTACCTCGTGTCTGTAATTGTTCACTTGAGGAAGAAAGCTGGCCACAAGGTTTCAGCTCAGAAGCAATTTTAACTGAGCAAATTCAGTGCTTCTGAAAAGCGGTAATTTAATTACACTACAGTCCTTATTTTAATTAACACATGCACACAAGACAGTACAAGATTCTTCACATAATTAGTGCATCTCAATGGTGACTACAGGTATGACTACACAGCAACTAGACACTTGCAGCTGGGCTGTGCCAGATGACTCGGGCTCAGCCTTCAGAGCTGTTTCATTGCTCTGTAGACTTCTGGGTTCAGGCTGCAGCACAGGCTCTTTGACCCATCCAGACAGGAGGGTGCCAGAGTTCAGGCTCCAATAAAACAGCCCTGCAGCCTGAGGCAAGCAAGCCCAAGTCAATGGGCACATGCCCGTTTTTCTTTGCTATGAGTATATACCCTGCATTAGGCCTCAATAGGGGTATTGTGTCCATTTCTGGGCACCACATTTCAAGAAAGATGTGGAGAAACTGGAGAAGGTCCAGAGAAGAGCCACAAGAATGATTAAAGGTCTAGAGAACATAACCTATGAAGGAAGACTGAAAGAACTGGGCTTGTTTAGTTTGGAAAAGAGATGACTGAGAGGGGACATGATAGCAGTTTTCAGGTATCTAAAAGGATATCATAAGGAGGAGGGAGAAAAATTGTTCTTCCCGGCCTCTGAGGATACAACAAGAAGCAATGGGATTAAACTGCAGCAAGGGAGGTTGAGGTTGGACATTAGGAAAAAGTTCCTAACTGTCAGGGTGGTTAAACACGGAATAAATTACCTAGGGAGGTTGTGGAATCTCCATCTCTGGAGATATTTAAGAGTAGATTAGATAAATGTCTATCAGGGATGGTCTAGACAGTACTGGGTCCTGCCATGAGGGCTGGGGACTGGACTCGATGACCTCTCGAGGTCCCTTCCAGTCCAAGTATTCTATGATTACCTCTCAATGTCTACTATCTACGATTTGCCTATTCTTTTAGGAGACTTTAGTTTCCACAGATGTCAAAAGTAAAACCCTTCAGAAGCACAAACAAAAATAACTGATTTTAGTAAAATTAAACTGAAACGTTATAGACATAAGAAAATGCACATGCAAATAAAAATTCTAAAGATTTTAAATATGGGTTTGTTACACAGGCACAAAACATGTTTCTAGAAGGACATATCAGAAATTTAAAAACTCATTTTCTAATAAAGTGTCAGACCACAAAAGGAGCCATTACAGTCCATAATCTCAACCACATCTGCCAAGATTCAACAAAATGTATGGGGTTTCATAAGATGCAACATCTCCTCAAAGAGCCCACTATTTTTCACAAGTTAAGAATTATATCAGCTAACTTTCTCTTGGTGATTTTGCAAAGTGTTCAGCTGTAAAAGGCAAACACAGTAGAATGAAAGCCAGAATGTCAACTCAGATTTTTAGTTTTAACTATGACATTTCCTGGCCTGCTTTTGTTGGTTAAAGTAACATCTCCAAGATTACTATAAACTTAGCTTTTTAACCTCAACATGATGAGCAATATTATCTAAAGAGAAATACCTACTGCAAATCCAGTCCAGATAGTACAAAATTACTGCAATTGAGAATAAACTGACCTAACACATGCAGCTGGAGATCATGCAAATTTGTCAGACCTCGTGAAATACAGCATTTTTACAAGCTATTTGTAAGAAATATTTTAAGGACAAAATTCTGTTAGAACAGCAGTCAGTTATTCTAGATATCAAAGGCAAAGCTACTATTCCACAGTGGGGACTTGTAGCCCTGAACTAATCTATTCTGCCACCCCCACACCAACTCCTAATATCATGTAAACAGCAAAAGCTTTTCATGTTACTCTTCCTGCTGGATCTGTTCCTCTTGTCTCCATCACAAATGTTCCTCTCTCTATAACAGGTAGCTTCACGAAAGCTCATGATACCATCTACATGTTTTGTTAGTCTATAAAGTGCTACCAGACTATTTGTTGTTTTTTCTATAACAGGTAGAGAGCACAGTGGGGTCCACTGAGATGACAGCTGCCACATCATAGGGGAATGAAGAAAGTTTGTAAAAGAAAAATATGAATATTGATTTTTAATACATGGTAAAAATGTGAGCATTATGAGATATCTGGACACCTTATGAAATTTAACCTGAGACATTATCTCAAATATGACAAAATTTGCCTTTAATCCAACCACTCAGCTAGAAATCAAATCAGTTGGAAAGGCAGAGGCAAAATTGGTGCAATTTTTAAGTTTTTACTAAAAATGGCCAGGATTAATGTTATGTGCATTTTCCTAGGGAGCGAATCCAGAGGTGCAAGGCCTCTACCAGAAGTACCTTGAGGTTGAGAGCCGATCTAAGGCTGTGTCTACACTGGCAAGATTTTGCACAAAAGCAGCCACTTTTGCGCAAAATCTTGCCACCTGTCTACACTGTCCACGAGTATTTGCACAAGAACACTGACTTTCTAATTTAGGAAATCAGTGCTTCTTGCACAAATACTCTGACGCTCCAGCTCAGGGATAAGCCCTCTTGCGCAACTGTTCTTGCGCAAGAGGCCAGTGTAGACAAGCAACGTTAATTTCTTGCACAAGAAAGCCCGATGGCTAAAATGTCTATGGGAGCTTTCTTGTGCAAGAGAGCGTCTACAATGGCACGGATGCTTTTGCGCAAAAGCACATCTCTTGTGCAAAGGCACATGCCAGTGTAGACGCTCTCTTGCGCAAATACTTTAATGCAAAAACACTTGCGTTAAAAGTATTTGTGCAAAATCATGCCAGTGTAGACACAGCCAAAGTGTCTGAGAATTAGGAGTTCAAGCTATTGCTTACTGCAGTGAAAGCATATGCCTAAGCCAGTGCGCTCCTATCCAAAGCGAGGAAGGTAAGGGGAATTGTTTGTGTGTGTCAAAGCCTGCCTCAGCAGTGAGTAATGTGAGCTGATTAACTGGAACTAGCCCTGTACACCTGTGCAGCTCTTACTCCTGCCACTTAGTTCCGCAAAGAAGGCAAGGCGTTTCCTACCACTTGCGGGCTCGGGATAACATAGCCCTTCCCCCTCTTCTAACGCGTGTGGGCGGCGGCTCTGGGGGAGGTCAGTGTTGCTTGAATGAACCCGGTGAGTGCAGGATACAGCCAGAAACTCGGCTCCTATAAATCTGCCTCTCGTCTCACCCGAATGGCCCTGAGCCTCCCCAGACGTTTCGGTGGGCGCTGCCCGCCGCCCCCCACCTGGG